GGAGCCTGAAGGCTGAGCTGAAGTAGAACCTGCAGGCCATCAGTGCCCAGGAGTGGCTGCGCAAGATCCGCCTCCTGGCCCAGAAGGTGCAGGATCGCAGGGACAGCCACCGTGGCGGGCCAGACTGATGTCCTCCTGGCCGCACCACGGGGGTTTGCGGATCTGCAAAGCCAGAGGCCTCCAGTGTGCACATCCCCCCTGGCATGCGAACATCCCCCAGCACACTGTCACCCTCCCGCACCTGCAACAGTTGCAAACCAAGGCATGCAAAAGTTCCCCCCGCCTCTCCACCGCACTTCCATCAACCCGGCATGCCTAACACCCCCACAGGATGTGCACACATCCCCTCTGATGCGCTCACGTCCTTTGGAGAGTGTCTGGGTGTTCTGGGTGCTGAGGGTGGGCGCCTGTGAGATGACAGTGAGAGGGCGGAGTGGTGATGCCCTGTTCCCACGGAGGCCAGTACAGCTACGAGATCACCTCTGGGGGGTGAATGCAGGTACTGAGGCAGGAGCAGGTGCAGACAGACACACCTGGTGGACACGGGCGGCCCTAGCTGAGGTGCCTTCGGTCAGCGTTCAAGATCAAGAACCCAGAGGCAGAGAGGAATTCCGTCCTCTCAGTGAAACAGTGGGATAGTCGGGGCGACTGTAGAGGAGGAATGTGCACTTTGGGTGCCAGCACCCATGAGCGAAGGCTGCCCTGACTGAGCCTCGCTTGCTTGGGGCCTAGCACACTCCTGCCGGGCAGCGGGTGACAGGACATGCTTTTCCGAATTAATGAGAGAATACGTTGATTCTCCTGCTGCCCATGAAGGTGGAAAGTGAAGTGGGGAGACATGTGGGGAGTGAGCAAGGTTTTCTGTCTGGGGGTTCCAAATCTGCTGTTGGTTTCTTTCACCGCTGACTAGAGATATACAGGGTGTCCCCCCAAAATGTATACACACTTTGAATACCTACTAATTCCAATGGTTTTAAGCATAAGAAAGAAACAACAATGGAGCTGTTATCTGTTAAAAGTGTGGGCACAAACAGGTAGTTGGACATTCTGTGAGGGGTCTCAGTTTGGAGAGGGTGAAGGCCAGACTGAGGGGCCCCTCCCCCCCCACCCCAGTGCATGAATTTCGTGCACCAGGCTACTAGTCCTATATAATAAAGAGGTAATATGCAAATTAACCATCACACCCTCACAAGATGGCTGCCTATGACCAGGCCTGCAGGGGGGTTAGTGAGGAATGACCAAACGACTGAACAGCAGGCTGTGTGGGATAACCAGGCCTGGAGGGGGGCCATGAGGGGTGACCAGGCCAGCGGGAGGGGGGGCAGTTGGGGGTGACCAGGCTGGCAGAGGGGTGCAGTTGAGAGCAACCAGGCCAGCAGGGGTGGCAGTAAGGGGTGCCCAGGTCTGTGGGGGGGCAGTAAGGTACAATCAGGCTGGCAGGGAGGGAGCAGTTGGGGGCAACCTGGTCGGCAGCAGGGGGCAGTTAGGAGTGACCAGGCCGGCACACAGAGGCAATCAGGCTGGCGGGGGGAGGGGGGACAGTTAGGGGCAACCAGGCAGGCAGGCAGGTGAGCGATTAGGAGCCAGTGGTCCAGGATTGTGAGAGGGATGTCTGACTGCCGGTTTAGGCCCAATCCCTGGGATCAGGCCTAAACGGCAGTCGGACATCCCCTGAAGGGTCCTGGATTGGAGAGGGTGCAGGCTGGGCTGAGGGGGACCCCCCCCACACATGAATTTCATGCACCAGACCTCTAGTCTATAATAAAAAAACTAATTAGACCAGATGTCTTTCTGGATGTCCTTCCATCCTTCTGGATGAAGCTGGGGCTGGGAGGGAAGCCCAGGTCCCAGGTGCCAGAGGGAAGCCGTTGCTGGCAGCTGGGGGGAGGAAGGCCTACTCTTGCATGAATTTCGTGCATCGGCCCTCTAGTCCAGTATAAAATGGCAGAGGACCTCTCCCAAGAAGACTCATGTGAAAAGATGCTCAACTTCACTAGCTATTAGGGAAATGCAAAACAAAGCTACAATGAGATAGCACCTCACACCTGTTAGAATGCGTTACCAACGAGACAAGTAGCAAGTGCTGGAGAGGTTGTGGAGAAAGGAACGTCATTCTCTGCTGGTGGGAATGTAGACTGGCACAGCCACTATGGATAAGAGTGTGGCAGTTCCTCAAAATATTGTGACTAATGGTACCATATGATACAATTCCTCTCTTGGGTATCTACCTGAAAAAATTGAAAACATTTATTCACAAATGTTTTCTTAGAAACAGCTAAGAACTATATGATTTCACTCATATGTGGGATATAAAACTGAAACTCATAGACACAGACGACGGAGTGGTGGTTAGCAGGGGGAAGGGGTGGGGAGGTAGTAAAAGGGGCCACATATGTGGTGACAGAAGATGTGACTCTGGGTGGTGGGCACACAGTGCAGTGTGCAGACCCTGTACCATAGAAATGTACACTTGAAGCCTATATAACCCCATTAACCAATGTCACCCCAACAAATGTAATTTTTAAAAAGATAGATGATGCAACGAGGAGGGAGAGATTTAGGGAAATTGATGAGGTCATAGTTGGAACTTCTGAGTTCAAAATGCCCCCAGCATCTAAGCCCACACAGAGAGGCCCAGCACGCAGCTGCGTAGGTGGCCTGGGTTTCAGGGGAGCAGTCAGGATCGGGGTTCCAGATTTGGAATCCACCAGCCTGTGGATGTACCAGACACCATGTGATCCCGGGATGCCTCCTAACGAGAGCAAAGGGAGTGAGAAGAAAACTGTGATTTACCGTTATTCCCAAGGACAGCTGGAGGGAGGGGATCAGGTAAGGTGTGCACACATGGGCAGAAGAGAACCAGGAAAGTTGTTGTACAGGCAGTGAGGACACAGTGCCTGGAGGGGCAGCAAGCTATCCAGTGACAAGGGCCAGTGGACTCTACAGCTTCCCGGCTCAGCCTGGAATGGAGGCGTCCGAGAGAATGCAGGGACTGGCGTTGAAAAGGCGATCCCCTCGTCAGAGGTTGGGCGGAAGTGAAGGATGGAGGCGGCTCTGCATGTTGACTGGAGAAGGAGACAACACTGAGTAAAGTCAGTTTGTGGCCTAATGTTTCCTGAAGTCGATGCCCCGCCTCTGAGAAGCAGGGGAGGCAGTGGGTAGTGGCACCTCAAGAGGCTGCTTGAGAGAAGGGAGTGGCCGCCGGGGGGAGGAGGCTAGTGCCCGTCCACAGAGAATGGCTCAGGGCCTTCTGTGGGCCCAGACGCGTGTTCCTCCAAATGTGCTAGTTGTAGAGAACTGGCTGCATCACCTTTCCTGTGTCCAGGTTGAGGTTTTGCTAGAAGGTGTTACCGATGCCAGGACCCCTGCCCCCTCTCCAGTGGCCATGGCTCTTTAGAGTGTCTAACACAGAAGAGGCAGCCGCCGCTTGTTCTGTAAGAGCTTTGGCTCTTTTACCAACTCCCTGGTGTCTCTCAGGCCACGCGCGCCAGGCCGGGCCTGGAGTTTGTAAGTCCTTGATGCACAGCCGCCTCCCAGTTTCCTACCTGCCAACCTCGAGGGCACCCACACAGCCACAGAGATGGGGGAGGCTCTTCTGACGCTCATTCTGCCCCGGCCCTCGTCATCCACTGCATCCTGTTCACGGTCAGTGGTGGCCCTGCCCGGGCGCCTCCGTCCTGAATGTCTGAAGTTGGGGGAAGTCTGGGCCCACCCCTTGTTGTTTATAGCCCTTCTGCCGGCTCTGCAGAGAGGCCCCGGCCTGAGCAGCTGGGTGAGCTGGTTAGGTAGGAACACAGGCACCATTGTGCAAGCAAGTTCCTGCTGGTTTCTTCCCACTTCCCTTTGGATATTGAGCTTCCCTTGACCAGTGTTTGCTTCTGCTTCACTGAGGCGGCGATGGGCCCGTGTGCACGGAGGCCCGGCGTGGGCAGTGTGCCAGCACTCAGGACACACCGTGGTTCCCCTTAGCCACGGGTTTGCTCTCCGAGGTTGCAGTTACCTGTGGCCAACCCGCAGTCCAATAATCTGAAACGGAAAATTCCAGAAATAAACCTTACATGCATTTTGCACCATTTGCATAGTGTGATGAAATCTCACACCGTCCATCCTGCGCCAGGTGCCTGGGACGTGACCATCGCTTCACCCGCATCTGCACGCCGTAGGCACTATCCCGTCAGTCCCTCCCTCCGTAGCCGCCTCGGTTAGTCAATCGACACTGCGTGTCTTGGGCTGTGCTCCAGCCACCCTGGCGTTGCCTAACGACACCCGAGCCCAGGAGCAGGGATGCCGGCGGCCCAGGAGTGCCCAGAAGCCGGGGTGCTGCCTGTGGGTGAAGAGGCGAATGTTCCTGACTTCATAAGGAGGCGGTCAGGTCTCTGGTGAGACCGGGTCCCGTGGAATTGTGAAGCAGGAAAAGAAAACAGTGCTCGTCTTGCTGTCGCACCTCACACTGGAAGAGTTACGGCCACAGCGCGTGACCCATCCTCAGTTAGGATGGAGAAGGCCTCGTGAGGCTCACGGCCCTCCTCTGGCAGGCAGTCAGGAGGCCAGCAGTGCCCAGCGCTAGGCCCCAGGGTGCGCCCTTCACTCACTTCTCCCGTCAGGGGCACAGCGGCCCTCACATCATCCCCACAGGGTGCTGGGGCCGTGTGACACTGAGAGAGCCTCACACCTTCCATTGCAGTGTGTCATCCTGTTTCCTTACTAGTTAGTGCTGATCTCCTTGAGCCTCTTTTATAAGTTAAGCTTCATCACGTGTGTGTGTGTGTGTGTGTGTGTGTGTGTATGTGTGTTTGTAGGGCTCGGTGCTGCCCACGGCTTCAGGCACCCACGGGGTCGGGGAAGGGGTGACGAGGACGCCTTGCCGACAGGGGAAGCTGCTGGGCGTTTACACTGGGGAGGGAGAGGGGCAAAGGGCTTTTCTTTCATCATCCTGGTGGCAAATCACTTATCTCGCCTCCAGCCAACGCCTGGGAGTGACTCCAGGCTCCTGGGCACCAATGACGGAGAGCCACATGGGAGGGCAGGGCAATAAAAGGCGGGTGGCCAGCAGGCTGCACACCAGGCCAGGCCAGAGGAGGAGCTGTGTTCTGTCCACGGTAAGTCCTGTGGCAAGCCCACCTGGCGCTCTCCAGGCCCTGGGGCCGCCCCAGACCCCCCAATGGGCTTGCGAGGGTCGCTTGTTTCTGGAAACTCTCAGAACCCAGCAAGGAGTCTGGACACTGGCCCTTGCCCAGCGCTCTGGATGCCACTCCAGCTCCAGACGCCACTTCGGCCCTGTCCGGTGCTCTCTCCTTGCATTTTCGCGCCACTCTTCCAGACACAGCTCGCTCTCTAGCCCACGTCCCCCAGGGGCGGTCGGAAGCCTCTGAAGTTCTGCCCATTGGAGGAAAGGGTTTTCCAGAACAGAACGTGTCATTAACGTGAGTGCAGGCAGGCCCTTCACAGCGATTCGTCTCTGCCTGCCTGCAGGCTTACGTAGGCACTCATTTCTCAAGCCTTGACTGGGCACCTGGGATGCCAGACGCTGCCACCAGCACGCCCGGCCTAGCCTGGCATGGCTCACTTCACAGAGACCTCCGCTCCCCATGGGCACACAGGGGCTCTTAGCCAGGCCTGGCACACAGCACAGGACAGGGCCACTCCCTGTCGGCAGGTGTCCCCAGCACCACCCCTCCCCCCACCCAGTTTCCAGACCCTCACCTCGCCCTGAGGAGGAGCAGGACCTGCCCCAGACCCGAGGACTCCTGGAGCAGCTGACAAAGCTCCCGCTCCTTTCGCCTCAGCCTCCTCTCCTTTGCCCCAGCTCTTCCCTGTCTGTCCCACCTGCTCTCAAACAATAGGGCCTCCAGGAAGGCGAGTGGCCACTTCTGTGCCGTAAGCAAACTGTTTACCTTCCTGTGAGCCGCCTGCAGGAGGCTCACTGCGTGGTTCCAGGATCCGTGTTCTGGAGCCTCAGTGTCTTCATCCTGCAGTGGCAGCAATGACGGCAGCTCCTTGGAGGGTGGCTCGGAGCTTTAGATGAGCCCTGTGCCAGGGATGAGGACGCGTCCTGGTTGGCACTGTGCGAGCTCCCTCCAGCCTCGCACCCCTGACCGCACTGGCCTTCCCCTCCCAGCTGCACGGAGAGTCGGAGCCGCTGAGTGAGCTGCAGCCTGGGTTTGTGGAGAGGATGCTGGGCTTCCCGGTCCTGTGGCTGATCTCAGCCGCCTGCGCTCTGGCCTTGGCCTCTACAGAGCAGCCAGGTGAGTGCTCTGCTCGCCTGCGTCCCAACTGCCCCCCCCCGCCCCGCCACACACACACCTGGGAGTGAGCAGGGCTGTGCAGCGAAGGCAGCTGTGGCCCAATGAGAGGAGCAGGGGCCTTGGAAGCTGGAAGTCAAGGGACCAAGGAGAGAAGAGCCAGAATCAAGTAACTGTCCCTCAAAGAGCCGAATCAGAAGTCCCCCTGCCAGTTAACATAGAGTGGGAGAGTGGGAGCCAGTTAGCATAGCTCCCATGTCAGGTGTGGGGAGATGGGGACTGGGTGTGTGAGGGCGGGAGCCCCGACGCTCTGGGCCTGGCTGTGGCCTTCGCCGGCCTCTGACCCGTGTGCCCACCTATGCATCGAGGGTTTAGTGACCCCTGTGGTTCATGAAACCCACGGATTATGCATCTTAGACGCCACAGGAAAGGTCCCAGGGTCACACTCGGTGAAAATTTCTGCAGGAGTCACCTGTGCAGGGCGGGGGGTGGGGGGGGGCGGGGGGGACTCAGTCCAAGGCCTCCCTTGGGAAAACCCAGTGTGCACAGGAACTACTCCAGGAACAAGTGCAGAGCCCTTCCCTTAAAACAAGCACAGGCACCCCAGGCTTGAAATCCCCCAAACTCCCCGTGCACGCAGTTCATCCCTCGGGCGCTCGCACTCTCCCCCGTCACAGCTGGAGGGGCTGGCACCCCGTCCGCAGCCAGGCGCCACCTGAACCCTCTAACAGCCCTTTAGGGCTTGACCTCCCATGTTGGGCACACATACCCCAAGGGCACTGCAGGTCCTGGGGGTGCATGGCAAGCTCTTACGGAGTTTTTGGTGGCTCTATGTTTCCATATGTATTAAACAGATATAACTAGTACTAGTACATCATGCTTGTGGTATAATAGGTATTACTCCTTGGGATGAAATGAATTTGTAAGAAAATCATTGGAAAAAGCATATGAAGTAAACAATAGGACAGAGGGACACAGGTGTGTGTAGGGGGGGGAGGGAGGGGTTGGGAACCACTAGCCCACAGGTGTTGTTTGGCAAATGAGTCTCAGAAGAATTGGGCCACCGGCCAAGGTCACAGCCATCCAGCCATCAGGTATGGAGTGGCTTTAACCCCAGACTGACCAGCGGTGGTCCCCTCCCCCTCCCCCTCTCTTCACACTCACTGCCCCTGAGTCGGTGAAAACCGGGAGGCTTTGTTCCATCTGTGGTTCAGAGCGGGGGTGGGGGGTGTAACTTTGCCCTCAGGGACATTGGCAAGGACTGGAGACAACTCGGGGAGGGGAGGAGGTGCCGTGGCATTGGGGGAAAGAGCGCAGGGAGGCCTCTAAGCACCCCACGTGCAGGACGCCCGAGTGTCAGGATGAGGCACCTTGTGTCAGACCTGTGTCTGCTGATGAGGGACCAGGCTCTGTGGTATGTCAGGGAGGAAAGTGAGTGGGAGAAAAAGTGCACAGCATTGAGCCCGTGAAACGCGCAGGAAGGGTCTACAACAGGCGAGGTTACTTCTGAGGGTGGTGAGCTTCTCACTTTAACGGCACGGAGTGTTTCCAACGTCTGCACAGAGGAAGGCACGCTGGTCAGACAGGACCACAGCGTGGGGCCGAACGCGGAGCACCACCCCCCAGCCGGGCCACCCAGCTCAACGTGCGGGCAGAGAGCCGATGCTCTTTTTAAAAATATATGTACTTTTACTGACTTCAGAGGGAGACAGGAACATCAATGATGCGAGAGAATCATTGATCGGCTGCTCCTGCACGTCCCCCACTGGGGATCAAGCCTGCAACCTGGGCATGTGCCCTGACCAGGAATCGAACCGTGACCTCCTGGTTCATAGGTCGAGGCTCAACCACTGAGCCATGCTGGCTGGGCCGGAGCTTCTTATTTTTAATTCTTTTTATTGTAATGTTGACATTATTGCAGGGTCCCCTCCACC